GAAGTACTTTAAGTCCTGCTGGCAGGACTCCGGGCGATCTATCAATAACCTCTATTACTTTGATGGTAGGGTCGGAAATCGTGTAATTTATAAAATACTAGGTGGATCAAGTATTTAAAAAATTGGAATAGGTGCCGCCTAGTACTGTAAAATACCTAGTGTGTGGATCTGTTCTAGTAAATACGTCTCATCTCTACTGCCTTGCTATGTGCTGATGAGCTTAACAATACAATTTCCGACGAAAGGATAAACCTGCTTTGTAAGTGGTCCGTCTTTTTAATAATCGACCAACGGGTGAACTCCTTTTCTGTCTCTTAATCTTTATAACGACAGTCCAGTCTTTCTTGAATATGTACAGTCGCACTGTAGGTACATGATATTATTTTTTGTTGCAAAATAGCACCTATTGCTATCATAAGAAAGTATGAAACGCCACAGCATTTACTTCATTGTTCCTATTGTCGTCTGTACAGTGGCTGTTGCGCCAATTTTGTGCGTTAGGTTTCAGTTTTAGCATTCCTTTAAATTTTCTTATGCAAGCGAATTAAAATTAAAATACATGGTAATTTGTATGCTGGAAGCCTGGAAGACATTACCATAGTACTTATTGAAGTTCGTATTGACTTTATTAAAAGATGTTAATTATGGTGTTCGAGATTATTATAAAACAGCATTATCCCTACAGGTTTATCTGGTTTAGCTGTATTGGTAAAGCAATAAAAACAAAAAATATGTATAAGGTATTTTTTATTTGAAAATATTAATTTATCCTCGGTTTCTGATGCTGTCGTAAACGTCACGGGCAGTGCCTGCGGCGCTAGCTATTCCAAATCCAGTTTTCTAAAAGAGAAAAAGAGAAAATCTATTTAAAATAACACTGTACCGTACCGCAAAATCTAAAAAACCCATGGAAAAAATCTATAACCTTCATGAAAAGAAAACAGAATAATAGATTCTACGCTGACTATGAAGAATTTTCTTTCTTAACTTTCAGAGTTACAGTTAAGTAAATGTAAACTAAGTAGGTAACATAAGTACGCGGCTCGCAAAAAGTGACAACTCAAATCGTTGTTATTTTACTGAGTAGCAGTAGAGATATACAATAGTCAATGATGATAATTATAATGGGCGAGAAGGCTAAAAAATTTGAGTTGCTTTGCGCTCGTACTTATATGAAAATAAATCATTTACCTACTAAAAATTGGAAAGGGCATCAAAACATTCTGCGCGTGTTTTCGTTAGTGCTCAAAATGCTGAAAACTATCCTATTAAGCTTTTTTACAATGCACTTACCACAGCCTTGCCAATTTGCTTGACTGGCACCTTGGGCTCAGGGTTACCGAGACCAGCGCCGAAGGAAGAGCATTGCGAGAACTGCCATCACAGCCATGAGAAGAGCGGCGAACTTCATGATTGATGTATTAATTGATAAAGCAATCAGGAATTGACTTGATCACTGAAGCGTGAAGTCTACGAATGATTACAGAAGATGCTACAGGTGTATTTAAACCTAAAGATTTAGGTACTAGATTTTCCTTCTTAATGTCTACAGCGTACTAATTTGTTTCTAGCTAGATACTAGCATAAGTAATTTGGTAATTTCGCTTGTGGTGTGATTTCGTATAATTTTACCTCTTTATCCCTAATCATTAGGAGGTCCGATAAATTGGTTTCGAAGGATGTGTTTATTTGAAATAAGTAAAATGTTGAACAGAAACCTGTCAAAGTAGGTACCTACTTCAATATCTTGTCCTGTTTTGAAATAAGTAAAATGTTCGGCAGAATCGCCTCTCAAAGTAGTTACTTCTTTTTCTTGTAAGTTACATAAACGGGCTTTGATGCCTGAATATAAACGACTCCTTCAGACATAGGGCAAAGAAAAAGAAATTCATATAATTAGGAACTTTCAAACTATATTTATTTCGGAGGATTTAATTTCATACACAATTAATAAATACTTATTATGATGTTGCAATAAATTACTTAATTATTGACTACAGGCAAAAAATATTCTTATTTTTCATAACATAGCACTATCCTCGGTTCTTGATGTTGTTGTAAACTTCGTGAGCTGTGCCCGCGGCGCTGATGACTCCTAGGCCAGTTTTCTGGAATAAAAAACAGTTTTATGTAATTTTTTATCGTTTAACAAAGTAAATATTAAATGGTAGCTTTTGCTTTTTACCCTTACTTTTGTGAAATTCAGTTTTAAATCGTTATCATTATGTAATGCTCTATCAAAACCCATTCAATAGTTTTTGCGTGAAAGAATAAAAATCCGGACGAATGTTTGTTGGAGGTACGATGAAAAGTATCCAACCTCACAAACTTTCACATTAATAAATATTAGTAGGATCGTTTTGAACTAGATTTACTTACAATAACTTTGCCAATTTGCTTGATAGGGACTTTAGGCGCAGGGTTGGCGTGGCCAGCTCCGAAGAACATGGCGAGCACCGCCATCACCACCGTGAACAGAGCCGTGAACTTCATGATTGAGTTCTTGTAGTTACTAACTGAGGAGTTTACTAACACACGCTGTAGTGTTTGAGTTGTGAATGCGTTCAAGTACAATACGGACTTTATTTATAGTTCAAATATTAACATTCCTTTCCTTACCAAACCCTTCGCCTAAGCTTGTGGGACATTCTNAACATTGTCCTTTAATTTCTGTGACGGGTCTGGGTGTAAATATGTATAATATGTATGTATTTAATAAAAAAAAAAGTATATAAGTAGTATATCCGTTAAGCTAGCACCCATAACACAAGCATTGAGTTGCTTACTTTGGGGCTAGCTGGCGCTGTGTGAAATTGTTCAAAGATTTTATTGTTCAAAGAAAGATTTACATAGGCCCGGACTTGAGTATTTCAGTATAGTGAAATAGATACACATTAATTACTCTGGGTACATTAATTATTCACAAGCATTATACATAAGTAGTTTAAGTACGTTTGTGGGAATCGAACCCGCAACCGTAGGCAGCGTTGTAATCCGTAACAAGAACAAATAAATCCTGTTAAATCTGGAAGGGCTTTTTTATCCACAACGAGGAAGCTCTTGGCCTGCATTTCACCTGCTGGTAAGTGATAATCAGGCCGAATGTGGAAGCGAGCTTCACCCGGAATCCTCAATCCCGGAGGAACTGGCTATCTTACCTCTAACTGCCGGAACACAACAATGCTGTTAACATTGTTGTTATGGCGACAGACTTAGGTAAGATGGTGGTAGCTAGCCAGGCGGACTTAGAACAAGCCCTACCACCAACCAAACCGAACAGAAAAATTTGCCCCCACTGGGAATCAAACCCGGGACCTCTGCGTCTGAAGCAGGTGGTATTACCACTAGACCACAGAGGCGGTTATTTATGTTTTAAGTAGGTACTACTTACTGCCTTGCTATGTGCGTACGAAAGGAAAAAGATTAAATCTACGTTTTCAAAAAAACCTGCTTTGCAAGTGGTCCGTCTTTAATATAATCCACCAACGGGTAAACTCCTTTTGCTATCTCTTATTCATGACGACAGTCCAGTCTTTCTTGAATATGTACAGTCGCACTGTAGGTACATGATATTATTTTTTGTTGCAAAATAGCACCTATTGCCATTATATGAAATGCCACAGTATTTACTTCATTGTTCCTATGGACGTCTGTACAATGGCTGTTGAAAGAAAGAAAGAAAGAGAAAATATTTTTATTTAATTTTGTGCGTTAGGTTTCAGTTTTAGCATTCCATTTAATTTTCTTATGCAAGCGAATTAAAATTATACAATGGTAATTTGTATGCTGGAAGCCTGAAAGATCGGATCACTTATTGAAGTAAAAACACGTATTAAAAGATGTTTATTATGGTATTTGAGATTATTATAAAACAGCATAAATCCCTAAAGGTTTGTCTGGTACCTAAAGGTTTAGCTGTATTGGTAAAACAATAAAAACAAAAAATATGTAAAATGTTATTTTTATTTGAAAATATTTATCCTCGGTTTCTGATGCTGTCGTAAACGTCACGGGCAGTGCCTGCTGCGCTAGCTATTCCAAATCCAGTTTTCTAAAAGAAAAAAAGAGAAAAATCTTAATAAAATAACACTATACTGTACCTACCGCAAAATCTAAAAGACCCAAAGAAAAATTCACGATTCACGAAAAAGAAAACAGAAAAATGAATAGATTCTACGCTGACTATGAAGAATTTTCTTTCATAACTTTCAGAGTTATAGTTAAAAATAAACTAAATACTTAATAATGTATGCGGCTCGCAAAAAGTGATAACTCAAATCGTTGTGTTATTTTACTGAGTAGTAGTAGAGATATACTTAACTTAATAGTCAATGAAGATACCTACTAAGGTACCTACATATTATTAAGTTGATTTGCGCTGGTTAAGTGCTTACTTTAAAATAAATTATGTAATAAACAAAAAAAATTGGTATGGTCCCTTGATGTGGGTATCTATTTTGATAATGGAAAGGGAATCAAAACATTCTGCGCATGTTTTTGTTAGCGCCAAATTTGTTATGGGATTATCCTAGTATTTTTTTTGCTATGCACTTACCACAGCTTTGCCAATTTGCCTGACTGGCACCTTCGGCTCAGGATTACCGTGACCAGCGCCGAAGAGCATTGCGAGGACTGCCATCACCACCATGAGAAGAGCCGAGAACTTCATGTTGAATTATTTGATAAAACAGTCAGGAATTGACTTGATCACTGAAGCGTAAAGTCTTCGAATGATTACAGAAGATGCTACAGCTGTATTTAAACCTAAAGATTTAGGTAGGTACTAGATTTTCCTTCTTTACTTAATGTCTACAGTGTACCTACCTAGGTACATACTTATTTGTTTCTAGCTAGATACTAGCATAAGTAATTTGGTTATTCCGCTTGTGGTGTGAATTCGTATAATTTTACCTCTTTATCCCTAATCATTAGCAGGTCTGATAAATTGGTTTTGAAGGATGTGTTTATTTGAAATAAGTAAATATCTTGAACAGAAGAATCACCTGTCAAAGTAGGTACCTACTTCAATTTCTTGTCCTGTTTTGAAATAAGTAAAATGTTCGGCAGAACCGCCTCTCAAAGTAGTTACTTCTTTTTCTTGTAAGTTACATAAACGGGCTTTGATGCCTGAATATAAACGACTCCTTCAGACTTCGGGCAAAGAAAAAGAAATTCATATAATTAGGAACTTTCAAAATATATTTATTTCGGAGGATTTAATTTCATACACTATTAATAAATACTTATTATGATATTGCAATAAATTACTTAATTATTGATTGCGGCCAAAATATATTCTTAGTTTTAATAACATAGCACTATCCTCGGTTCTTGATGTTGTTGTAGACTTCGTGGGCTGTGCCCGCGGCGCCAAGGACACCTAGGCCAGTTTTCTGGAATAAAAACAGTTTTATGTAATTTTCCGATTGCGTCGTTTTGTAAAATATTTCATAGTAGCTTTTGCTTTTTGCCCTTGCTTTTGTGAAATTCAGTTTTATCTCGTTATCATTCTAGCATCTACTGAAGTATGCAGCTATGTAATGTTCTATCAAAACCCGTTCAATAGTTTTTGCATGAAAGAATAAAAATCCGTGTTTGTTGGAGATACGATAATCATTATCCATCCNGTTTTAATAACATAGCACTATCCTCGGTTCTTGATGTTGTTGTAGAGTTCGTGGGCTGTGCCCGCGGCGCCAAGGACACCTAGGCCAGTTTTCTGGAATAAAAACAGTTTTATGTAATTTTCCGATCGCGTCGTTTTATAAATATTTCATAGTAGCTTTTGCTTTTTGCCATTGCTTTTGTGCAATTCAGTTTTAACTCGTTATCATTCTAGCATCTACTGAAGTATGCAGTTATGTAATGTTCTATCAAAACCCGTTCAATAGTTTTTGCATGAAAGAATAAAAATCCGGACGAATGTTTGTTGGAGATACGATAATCATTATCCATCCTCACAAACTTTTACATTAATGAAAATATTAGTAGGATTGTTTTGAAGTAGAATTACTTACAATAGCTTTGCCGATTTGCTTGACAGGGACTTTCGGTGCAGGGTTGGCGTGGCCAGCTCCGAAGAACATGGCGAGCACCGCCATCACCACCGTGAACAGAGCCATGAACTTCATGATTGAGTTCTTGTAGTTACTAACTGAGGAGTTTACTAACACACGCTGTAGTGTTTGAGTTGTGAATGCGTTCAAGTACAATACGGACTTTATTTATAGTTCAAATATTAACATTCCTTTCCTTACCAAACCCTTCGCCTAAGCTTGTGGGACATTCTTATGTATAAGCACATGACCATTCCTAACTTAAGACGTCAGAGGTACGTAATGGGTACGGTCAGTAACACGCGTACGAAAGGCCGTAGTAATGAGATGTCCATAGCAATTTGTACACAATATTATGAGTAATAATGTTATTTGTGTGGTATGTTTACTACGGCCGATATCATTACTCGTAGATCGTTCAGGTCAGGGCATTCGTAGTAAACGATTCATGAGGACATAGGTAATA